GAGGGGCTGGAGCGTGTCCAGAGGGGCTGGAGCAGCAGGAGAAGGGGCTGGAGGAGTCCCGAGGGAGCTGGGGGGGCTCATCTTGGAGCAAAGGAGGCTCAGGGGGGATCAGGGGGCACCTTCTGGCTCTGGAATTCCCTGGCAGGAGGTTGGAGCCGGGGAGGGGGTGTCGGGCTCTGCTCCCAGGGAAAATCAGGAGGAGAGGGAACGGCCTGGAGCTGTGCCAGGGGGGGACAGGAGGAGGAATCATTTCCTCCTGGAAAGGGTTGTTGAGGGTTGGAATGTTCTCCAGGGAGGTTTGGAGTCCCCAGTCCCTGGAGGTGACGAGGTGGGGACGGGGCACAGGCTGGGCTGGATGATCCCGGAGGGCTTTTCCAGCCTCAGGGATCCCAGGATTCCGGGATCACCGCCCTGAGCAGCCCTTTTTCCATGGAAAAAACCCCCTGGGAGAGGAGGGCAAAGGAAGCAAAGTGTGAGGGGGAGCAGGGACAGCCCCGGGGAGGCGGAAACGGCCCCAAATCAGGGACAATCCCGAGTGGTTTCCTTCATTTTTTGACACTTTTTTTTTCCCTGCTGTTGGAAAGGAGGAGAAGAGCAGCTGCCCTGCAGGTCCCACTCGACTCCTGAATCCCCTTTGCAACGTTTCCTCTGGGATTATTGGGAAAAACACTTGGAATCTGCTTCGGATTCCATCCCAAGCTCCCCGGCAGGAAACGCAGGCCCGGCTTTGCAGCTCCCTCCTCAGAATGCAGATTAAAGCAGACTGAGCTCAGTTTGGGCCTTACTTTAGGCCTAAAGATAAAGATAAAAACACTCCTCCCTCCAAAACGAAACAGGAAAAGCTCTCCCTGTGTGTTCTCCAGCCAGAGGATGAATTTTTTCCGTGGCTGTTTTTCCCACCTGCGTTAAGTTTGTGAGGGTGAGGCCTTTGCTTCCCCTCATCTTTGTATCAAACTTATTGCAGCTGGATTAAAAAACAACAACAAAAAAAAGGTGAAAAATGAGCCTTCCAGCTCCAAAACTCGTGTGAAATGAAGGAGGGGGAAAAAAAAAAAAAGCCCTCAGTGCCTGGTATCTCGATTGTAATGCCCAGCAAGTGTCTGCATGAAGGAAGGGCTTTGTTTCAAACTTCCCTCTTTTTCCAGAGCCTCCCACTGCTCAGGGGTTTTCCACCTCCCAGATTCTTTATTTGTAATTTAATTCGGTGTTTAGTTGGTGATTTGGGGGCTTTGCTGGGCTGTTTTCCCTGAGGGATGCACAGGAGGGAGTGGGAGGAGGGGAGGGTTGGGGGGGTGACCTGCAAAAAAACAGGGAGAGGGACGATTCCCAAGGGCCTGGAG